TACGTTCATATACAAACCGTACATTCCCCGTACGGTAGCATCCAATGACACATACGGAACACATAGGCTCCCCAACGAAATCCAAACGCAGTCCGTACAGCACAAACAAGTTGCATACGCGCACATACACACCGTACGGACTCCATAAAGCACCATACTATCACTTACATTTGATTCCTACGCTTACCAATATAATCCTTGCTTGATATCATAACCTGCGCCTGCGATTGAACACTGCTCTGAATGCAATCCTTCCAAAATAACTGTTAAAACCTTTTGACATTGTGTTCGTTAATAGTGAAGGGGATCCGATCAATTCACACATGCAAGAAACTCTGCACCTCTGTTATAGAATAACACTGCTTTAGGGTTGATGCCCTTTTCTTTGATTGCCCTAAAATGGGATTAAGAGCGCATCGAGCGATCTTGAGTACGCGGTCGCATAATAGAAGGGCTCATTTATGTTTTTCTACTTGGGTGTAGACATGGTAATGGGTTTAAGGACCACCTACCTATGTTATGACTCCGTAATAAGACTAAGGCCCAAACTTTAGTATCCACGAGCACTAGGGTGTGTTTAAAAAATTGACATATTATTGAGTCGACTTTATTCGCAAGTTCATGACTCGATCTGAATCTGTGCCAAATTTGAGCGCGGATGGTTCCCCTCATCGGACAGGTCTCAAATTTGGCACAGATTTAGATCGACGCCTGAACTTTCTAATAAAGTCCATTCAAGCATATATTATGTCAATTTTTTTGTAACACCCTAACAAGCACTGTCGAGGGAGTAGTTGTAGGGAAACTAGAATCAGTGATTAAGTTAAGGAAAATATAGCTAAGCCACTTGCTTGGGCTCTCGGGCAATTGACAGGGTAACACGTCAGCTCGATACCCACCGTATGTGGAACACATACGGACAACGTACGGACGGGAAGGGGAACCGCGCTGTACATGACACCGGGCTACGACGCTCTCCTTCCCAGCGTGTCACCGTAGCTCAATGGTAGAGTCACGGGTTCCGAAGCCGAAGGTCCGAGGTTCAACTCCCAACGGTAGCAGTCCACTTTCATCAGTCAAGTAAGTAGGAAATAGGTAAATAAAACATGAGGGAGGGTTAAACCGAAAATCGAAACAAGAATGACTGGGTCAAAGGTCAAAATTTTCCCAAATTTTCTTCTCGAAATATATAGGGCACACATACGGACGGCATTTGCTTCACTACGTACAAACTTCGTCCGATTCACATACAATTCACATACAATTATGATTCGTGCATGATGCATACGTCTGGTATACGTCAGCCGTATACGTCACAGTATACGGGACATATACTGACGAAATTTCACGGGAACCGGTCTTATTGGATCATAAAGGACGTCATTGACATCTGAGACCAGGTCTGGAAATTCAAGGTTTTTTTTTTTACTGTGTGTTTTATGGCAAGCGATACAACTCTAATTGTGAAGTATCATGCGGATTCCAAAGAAATGGTTGTGTTCCGAAAGGAAAACTCCTTCAAATTCTTTGGAAATTTGCAGTGAATATACTTTTTTAACCAAAAGTCAAACAGCTTTTTATTTTACCGTGCCTGCTGTGTATTGTTTAAACGGCGCTTTTAGTAAAAACATAATAGTAGGCGGCGTGGCGATTCTTTTGGCTGCGCCGCTGCGGCTTTAAACGCCCCACACAATTAGGTGAATTTACTTCGCCGCGATAAAACAGTGCGTGGCTGGCGTAGATTTCCGATACGGCGGCCGTCGAGGGGGGAGGCCTGCGGCGCCTATGGCACGGCGCCGCAGCAACTACACGCAAGTCCAATAAGGGGGTCGGGAGGGGGAGGAGGACATTACGCCAACATCCTTTTGTGCTACACTGGCAAAAATCGGCAACAGACAATAAGTTCGCGCGCGCTGCCCCCGCCGCCGTGCTCGGGCTGCCACCCCGATGATGGCGCCGTAAGTTCGATACACCGCAACAAAAACAAACATCATCGAAAGCGTGCGCTGGGAACGCAAGTGTGTCCATCCCGAGGAGGGGGTTTTCACTCGGAGTTTTCGTGTACAGTGTATTACGTGTATTACGCGGTATTACGTGTATTACGCGGTATTACGTATTACGCTGCCGGTGATAATCAGGCTTTGAAATGAAAATTGTACCATTTTAAAGCACATTTCCATAATTTTAGATTTAACATTACGCGTAATACCCAATTTAGGTGTACAGTGTACTGTACTTGGGTTTCTGGTGCAAGCATTTAAAAACTAACCTTTTAAGTGTATTTCAACCTTTTTTGTTAATAATTTACTGTTTGTCAAAAAACTGACGAACTCAAGAATTGTTTACATTCTCGGCGGCGTACGCGCACGCGCTCACGTCAGACCATCATACGGTCCATACGCCGCCAGCTGCAACCAACTTGTGTGTTTTATTTTTATCCTTTATCCACCGCGGCAGAGGTCAGTGCGGTGTCCTCCCCCTCTCCTTCCGGTCGGTCTTCCTTACTGACAGCTCGGGAGGGAGGGGCGGGGGGGCGTCATCTCCCCTGTTGAGCGTTATGGGGCAGGACGGAGGGGCTGTATGCCTGGGGGGCGCACCGGGACAGGAGGGACAGAGGGGTGCGGCTATGAGGCCGAGGCATGTGCCGTGTTAGTACAGCGGGGGGTCGAAAAGTCTCGGCCCGGCCGTACGGGGTTCAACTTGGTCGGGTGGGTGGTGGGGGGCGTCGTTGTTAAGACGGGGGAAAGGGCGAGGGGGCACGAGGTTAGGACAGCGAGGCGGAGGTGTCAGACGCCAGTTTCCGGCCGCACCAAGCCCCCGAAGCCGCCAGCCCACGCAGATAGGGATGAATAGGGGTGGCGGGGGCAACTCTGGCGTCGTTGACGTGCCGAAACGGAGGTCTCCGCCGCAGGGCCGCTCTCCTAGACCGCGCGCCACGATGCAGCCCGTCGTTTTGTACACGAAAATTTCAGACAGGCGGGGAGGAGGCCGGGGAGTTAGTGGGTGGCGGGGTGGGCGGGCGGAAGCGTGGCGCTGGGGGCCCGGAGGCGCGAGGCGAGCCGCACGTCCGAATACGACTCGTCCGCCTGGGGTCCCCTGGCCGCTGCCTCCACCACGGCGCGCGGTGTACTACCCGCGTGTCCCCCTTCTTTCGAACGCCACCCCGCGAGGGGGAGGCAACCAGCAGGGGCAATTAAAAGAACGATAAGGCCCCAACGGCGCCGCGAGGGCGGCCGGCGGTCGGGTGAAAGGGGAAGGGGGGCAGCGGAGGGAGGCGTCGAAAGTCACTCATGATTTAATATCATTTTTAAAAGGGGCAGGGGGGCGGCGCGTGGCGCGGGCGGGGTGGCCCCCCTCGCCCCAGGGCTTCATATTTTCCCGTGAAATTGCATTAGCGCGAAATATTTCAATGAGAGGCAGCTTGCCGCGCGCGCGGTGGGGCTCGGCCGAGACCCGAGGGAGACGAACGGGTAGGGGTTGGACACAGACACCCAACCCCCAACTAGAGCGTATCAATCTCATACCCATTCTTAAGTGTGTCGAATGTCCACATAAAGGACGAAATGATGCGAAGTTGACTGATAGAAACCTGCACACTAGAAAAACAAACATTCCATGTAAGTGATCTTGAGGAAAGCCAAGGAATTTTTACATCACTGCAAAGTTTCCCCGAATAAGGTGGTAAAATTTGGCAAGGGTAGATTATTGTATTGCGTTTAGAGGCACTAAAACATGACAATTTCGCAAAAAAATTCCCAAGTCGATTATTGTTTAAGAAGCCGCTGATAGTCAGGAATACCGAAAGAGACGTTTACATAGAAAGAGGTGACAAGGAAGATTAGAGCGATACCCTATCCAAAAAATAAAAATAACGGAAGTATTATTGCCCGCACATGAATCATTTTGTTGCACCCGCTCACAGTCATGCGTCTAAGAAAAATCGTCCATGTCCAAAAACTAAGAGGTCGAAAGTTTAAAAAAATGCCTCATGTCATATTTTGAAGTTTGTGTGATGTCGCACGTTTTATATCCCGGTGTATGTTGTGTTTTTTGTTGTTGTTGTTTTTTTGCCTTCTTTCCTCCCCGCCGCCGCAAATGCCTCCCAACACCCCCACCCCTCTCCCCACTTTCCCCTACCTTCCCCCGCCCCACAGCCTCCGCCGCCGTCGTATTTCAGACCACACGTGGTGTGTGTGTGTGCTCCCCACGTGCTTCCCAACACACCGCGCCGCGCCACACAAGGCGTTCCGCCCCGCATCGCCAAGCTCCGCCTCACCCCGCCACGCCTCACCCCACCACGCCCCGCTACGCCGCGCCACGCCGCAGACGATGGATCGCCCCGTGCTTTACGGTGCGGGGCGCCTCGTATAATCCCGCGATCAGCGTCCCATATTTTTTCCCCGGTGTGCGGCGCGGCGCCCAGTATTGTCGCGACCTCCCCTCCTTACACGCCGCGTCTGCCGCGCGCCGCCCCGACGCGCTAAGAAGGCCCTCGTTACCTAACTCGATCCCTGTGCGTTTAACTAGATGCTTAGCCGGGTAATCAAGGACGAGACTCTGGGACGCTGATTTCAATGACGTTGAGAGAGAGAGAGAGAGACAGAGAGAGAGACAGAGAGAGAGAGAGAGAGAGAGAGAGAGAGATGCTTAGATGAAAATTCATGGCGCACTCGTTGAACCCGTGTATTTTCTTTCATCTTCGCGGGATCTCCTGGTGCGAACGGCACAAAGGCGAGAATGGCACCTGTTTGCATGCACTGCAACCCCTCCCACCCGTACTCAGTATGTACTCCGTCTCTCTCTCTCTCTCTCTCTCTCTCTCTCTCTCTCTCTCTCTCTCTCTCTCTCTCTGCAGCAGCCCATTTCTTCCGTACTGTTCTCGCGTTATCCTCGCCACCCGGCCGATCATCTCTCGCGCCCTCTGAAGCCTCTCTGGTTTGCAGA